AGTATTGCTTTGTTTAAAACAAATTGAAACAAATGTAACGAAATAAAAGCAAAACAAAACAAAAATAAAGTACATACATATGTACATACTTATCATCACAAAGCAGAGCCACTAATGTTTGGATGGACGATCACGACGTTGAAATCGACGTAAGCGACTACAGCGGTGGCAACAAATGAAAGAAGTGAATAATTTGGTATTTGCGCAACGCACTTTTCCTTTTTTGCACATTTCAATATGACTGCGGCGACGATGATACCTCAAAGGGGAATATGTGTAAGAAAAGAAACAACAGCAAACAACTAATACATAGCGATCACAGTTCATATTAAAAGAGAGCTATATATGAACAAGTATCTTCACCACCAGAAAGCACTAAGAAGTTTCTTTTTTATGATTCCATGGTTATTACGCTTCCATAGTTACTTCGTATTATTGTTTTCACAAATGCCATTACCATAGAAAATTTATTACGGAGGTAGAGTTCTCGTAACTTTTCATATAGTTGCACAAACTATTCAGCCCTCATGCTATTACGTCTCCGCCCCTTTATTCTGGCGCTAGTGAATCAAATTTTTACTTCCACTTCACATATTGCAATAAAATTACTTCACGGGAACGGGATATTTGTAGCTTTAAAAAATAAGAGCCTACATTGAATACACCAATTTCCACAAAAAGAATGGGAAATGAAAAATCTACTAATAGTCGCTCCCTTTGTGGGACACACAAACTCACCGAGCCACATTGTGGCGGCGAACCAGTAACACTCGGCGAACGCTGCACGGTCACCAAAGCCATGCTCATTTGGCGGAGTTTCCTATCTTTTTCGCCAACTAAACTTTTCATAAATTCATTTTTAAATACTTAAATTCACTATTTCCTTTTGCACAACGCAAGACAATTGCAATAATTACGGCTGACTCCAAATATACAAAAAACTTAGCTGTCACCTCATCTGTCACTAGAGGTGAGAGCTTTGCAGGTTGGCAGTACTTGTCCCTGACATCGATGAGTACAAAACTATCGTTTTAGGAGTATACTTCGATAAACTGGTTTTAGAATTGGGTATTTTTTTTTTAGCAGAAAAAGAATAAATTGTGATATTGCCTCATGAACTTAAAGCGCCATGGAGACAATCACATAAATACCTCAAGCATTGCGTATCATTTATTGGATAATTTCATATGTTATATGTTATAAATTAATAATATTTATTACATTTCATAAAGCTAGCAAAAATTGATAATGATCAATCAAACGTAAATCAATTTATTGTTCTTGTCCACGAACTTGCTCACCACGACGACCAAAAAGCACGTGAGCTTGTTGTTTGTCAAGCATTACGCGAGACGATCAAATAAGCAGCCATCAAATTCAAATATCAAAATTTTTTGATTTTCATCAAGTATAGCCGGCAATGAGCCGCTGTAGTGTACGAGTAGCCGCCAAAAGCCGACGACACCAATACACTTAAAGCATTGATAAAGATATTTGAACGTCTCCGTGGCACTTAATGGTTAAATATTTATGTTCTTTGCAAGACGCATTTTTTTTTGATTTGCTTAAGACGAGTTGTTTTTTTTTATTTAATTGCAATAATATAGCAACCCATATACATACATAGCAACCATCGTACAGTTTCATAGGGCTTTCGCCCGAGGCGATTTTTCAGGCAACTTTTAGTTGCCTTTCAACTAATCGCTTTCAACAGAGTTGGTCGCCAGCCAACTTTAAGCTCGTTCAACTTTTTTTCCTTGCAACCCTGTGTTTGTTTACATTCTGTATACATACTTTTTTTCTTTTTACTTTTTTACTTTTATTTTACCTTTCAGCTTCGCCAAAACCACTTCTACCAACGCTTGGCTTACCAAATTTACGCCAATTAATAAAATTTTGCGATTTAAATTCATTTTCAATAATGTAAATAACAATTCGTGTTGAATCGAAAATCGCCTCGTCTGAATAGGTATGGCAACGTTTTCACTTTCAGCTTCTCATTCAACTTTTGTTGCCTGTAAAATCGCCACGTGCGAATGCCCTATTATGGAACTATGCGATGATAGCAACCCTTCATAGCTCTTTCATCAACGCATTTTGCACCAGAAGATGTCGCCTGAGATCTCTTCATTTATCTTTTGAGTAACTTTCGTAAATATTTGCAAGAGTGATGCAATTAACTTGCTTATTTTAGCATAATATATGCATTAATTAGATTTTATTAGATAGAAATTAAGTGTTGGTATTGTTGATTGTTTGGAACTTTTAGTTTCTTTAAAGGCAACAAACATTACTATCATTAGTGTCATTCCACATATATTCTATTTGTTTATAGGTATCTCGAAGGTCAAATTGCCGTGCTCGTCAAATAAAAATACTTTTTTTTTTTTGCTTTTTGCAAATCATCATTATATAAATAATATTATCAGGATGTCAGTACTAATAGAAGACGAACAAATGAATAATCAACGGCTGTTGCCACGGATAGCGCTGATCGCATGCGGCTCTTTCAGTCCACCGACCCCAATGCATTTTCGGATGTTCGGTAATGAAGACGAATTGCGAAATTCAAAAGTTTTCAATGCAGTAAAATCATAATTCATACATATACATATATCATTTTTCACATTTCAGAAATCGCACGAGATTATTTTACAAGTCAAGGGTCCCACCATGTTGTTGGTGGTATCGTATCACCCACACATGATTCATATCAGAAAAAAGGACTCGTTGGAGGAACATATCGATTTGCTATGCTGAAATTAGCTTTACAATCATCCACTTGGATTAGGGTAAAACAAAGAAACTTTACCAATGATATGTCAACAGACTGCACATGTACATATGTATATGGAATATTATTTTTTAAAGGCTTCCGACTGGGAAATACAGCAACCGGAATGGTCACGTACGCTTTCCGTTTTGCAGTATCATCAAAATTATATGAATAATTATGTCAACTCGCCGATAGAAAATGAAATAAATGGCACGATACCGGGTTGGTTGCCACCGGGATTACGTGAGCGTCAGGATGGGGTGCAATTGAAACTGTTATGTGGAGCAGACTTGCTGGAATCGTTTGCAGTGCCCGGACTGTGGGCTGATAAGGATGTATGTAGAAGATATTAAATCGTATAAACTACTTATTATACTTGTTTGTATATCATATTGGCAAACCACATGTATACTTATATATAGATTGAAGATATTGTGGGTAATCACGGTCTGGTTGTGATAACACGATATGGCTCTAGCCCTGAAAAATTTATTTTCGAGTCAGATTTGTTGACTAAATATCAGGTGAGTTGTTTAAAAAATCGTGCATATGTATACGTATTTATACTTTTTCTTACTATTTGTTATCACTTCTCAAAGAAAAATATTACATTAATAACAAATTGGGTGCCGAACGAAGTAAGTTCAACCATGATACGCCGGCTTATTTCACGTGGACAGTCAGTTAAATATTTGCTTGATGATCGGGTTATCGATTATATTCAAATGCAAGGACTTTTCAACTGTAAAACGTAAGTGATTTTTATTTAAAGCAATAATTGCTTGCTTTTATGGCTTAAGTGATTACGGCAAATGCACATATTTTATGTATGTATGTAAATACATGTATGCATACATACATATACAGTGGCAGTCAAAAGTGAAAGAACGGTGTTTCGTATTTAATATTTACAATGTTTTTCAAGCTATATTTTTTCATATTTTTTTATAAAAATGTGGTTAATGCTTTAGCAAAACCCATATAAATCACACTCTCAAACTTTACTTAAGAAAAATTCAACAAATTTTTATCTAAATTTCAATCTTTTTAATCAGATTTTTTTTTTTTAATTTTCGGGTGTGCAGTTAACTGGATTATAAACTTTTAGTCAAATTAGTGTACGTTTTGAGCGGCTCAAAAATCGCATTTTTTTTTGTTGAATGCGTTATGAACTTGTTATCATATAAACATGAATTTTTTTTTGGAAAAATATGCGAAAGGCCATTTGCGAAAAAAAAAAACAAAAAAAGTCAACGCCAGTGTTCCTAAATTTCGCTTTTTATATGAAAAAACCAAAAAAATACGTCAGCAAAAAAAAAAAATTATTAAAAATCAATGCGATTTTTCAGCCGCACAAACCTTGCACTAATTTCACTAAAATTTTATAATCCTCGTAACTGCATACCCAAAAAATGTAAAAAAGGGTAATCTATATGGTTTTTGCTAAAGCATGAACCATATTTTTATAAAAATATCAAAAAAATTATAGCTTGAAAAACATTGTCAATATTAATACAAAACACCATTCATACACTTTTGACCGCCACTGTATACTATTATACAATATTACAAAATAGACGCACAGCAGCCGCCGTAGCCGAGTGCGCTTGTGCATGGCATATGTATTAGTAGACCGAACGAGCTAAGTTTAATTCAAGCGGACGTCGAATTTCAAAATAGTATAATTTTTTAAAAATATTAAATTTCTCTCTTCACCTTGTAAACCTAGGTGACATGTGATTACTTAGAGCAAGATTGCCAAAAAGAGCAGTCTCGTGGTAGTAGAATCTTAAATCTTCGAGAAAATTACGAAATTTTCAATTTCGTTTTTGAGTTCTTTGTAAATTTTAGATGTTTGTGAAGTCGGATAAGAACTCTCTCTATTTCTATTAATTATGAATTCGAAGTAACTAAAAATCTGCGATCGAAAAAATGGAGTAAAAACTTTATTTGGCTACACTATTTTATCAATAAGTTACGATAAATTATAATATTTTCAAGCTACCTAGTGGATCTTTCTGCATGAAGCTCTCAGATATGTACAGTGATTTTGGCATGTATTCCTCATACGGAAAAACAAGAAAAGTTTCCATAAAAAAACTTGTACTAAACATTTTGATGTTATCTTAATTTTCATAAAAAATGCTTGTTAACGGTTTTGGTAGAAAAAATAATTAAAAATACATCATTCATATTTTGAGTCAGTTCAGAACGGAATAAAGCACTGATTACAAATCGTTTTATTTGATTACTTTTTTTGCGCCAACTGAGCTCTAGGTGACCTAGCGCATCCGTAAATAGTGCTCACCCAAATATCACAACTCTGCCTTATAAAAACAAGATATGTAAACGAAATTGCATGCGGATAAAATCCGCAGAATCAACACCGCAACAAGTCAAAATTGAATGGAAACTAATAATGGAGTGTGAGTTGCTATTTCTTAAAGCAATACATATTCGACATTTTTCAACTATGCTAATAGAATGTATTTACTATAATTGCATGGTAATAAAACCATTGAATTACTTGCGCATACACGATCATTAATATGTATTTACGTATAAAATTATTGTGCGCATTCATATTTCTGCATGACATAACTAATGCTTAATTTGTATGGTATTTTACTTAGAAACTATAAAACATTGTTGGTATTGCGTTACTTAGAATGAATTATTTATTTTATAAACTTTTGCAATATTTGTTTCATACAAAGAAGTTCCAAACATTCCTAACATACTTTTTAATTCATATTTTTGCTTTGTTTGGATTTGTAGTAAGTATATAATTGGACTAACACGTTTGCAAACATTCCCAAAAAAGTATAACAATTTATTTTTAAACCGCGTTAATACTAATCCAAGCTCATCCGTCAATAATTCGCCGTCTGATGAGGAAGATGACGATATCGCGGCGGAAAGAGCTGAAAATATGGATGAAAGCGATTATTCTATTAAAAATATTTTGACTAGTTTCAATTTAGATAAACGTAAGCCTTCAAGCAGGAATGTCTTTTGTTGTGGAGAGAGTGAAGTCAACGCTCCAGCAAAGAAACTATTGCCCAGTCGCAATGGACCAGGACAAGTTGTTCAAGTTGTAACGTCCGAGAGGGGTAAAAAATTTACAACGGATATACAACGTACGAGCAGTGGAATGGATGAGGTAAATTTCGTTTTTTTTTTTTAAATTTATAACGTATTTTAAAAATGGACTACCCCCTTTTAAAAACAAAGCAAGGTGCAATTGAGTTATGCATTACTGTGGAAAAAAAAGTTACTCCTTCTTTGAGTGCAATGAGAAACTTAACTCCATTCTTGATCGGTGCTGTAACCGCCTAGCCGGTTTTTGGCCAGCCCTGCCAAATGTACGGTTTTTACCGTACGGTACGGATTTGCAGGATTTTTTTACGGATTTTTAATTAAAAAAAAACCTTATTTTGGTACTTGAGGGACTTATCTATTAACAGCATGTCTATTTTTGACCCGATTTTAAAAATCAAACATTAGAAGAGGATTTATCGGCCTTTAAAGTAATGTATAACAATCTATTGGTAGACCTCGATTGTTGGGAGTATTTGTCGCGTAAAATTAAAAAACCGAAATTTTCTTTATTTTTTCAACTTTAACCATCGCTGCAAACATTGCACTGTTACTGGGTAGGGTCGACGACCTTTTGCGTAGAGCGTGGGGTTCTTTAATAAAAGTAATCAGCCTCATTGCGTAAGTTGTAAATTAGCTAAATTTTACCACTCAGCAACATTGGCATCGACCGCTGTGGTGTAGTGGTAAGCAGTGCGCGCTTTCACACATCAGCACCTGGGTTCAAGCCCAGGTCAAAGCAACATCCCAAAAAATATAGAAAACGGTTTTTTCTTAACAGCGGTCGTCCCTCGGCAGGCAATGGCAAACCTCCGAGTGTATTTCTGCCATGAAAAATAGCTTCTCATAAAAATACAATCGCCGTTCGGAGTCGGCGTAAAACTGTAGGTCCTTCCGCTTTGTGTGACAACATCAAGGCGCACGCCACAAGTCGGAGGAGAAGCTCGGCCAAACACTAACATATGTGTAAGCGCCAAACTATTATTATTATTAACATTGGCATTGCCAACTGTCGCGCTGAAATAAGTAGACGACGAAAATTGTCGAAAAATATCCAATGCTGTCAATGCAATTGCACTCGCAATGAGGCTGAATACTGAGGAGTTTATTAGAAGAGCGGGTTTCATTGTAAAAATTATATTTTAATGTTTTTATCATGCATACATATATCGTCACCTGAAATGTAAAACGACGTAACAAACATCGTCGCTGAAATTCAAAAAGTCGTAAGTAATAAAAAATAAAAAATTTAGTTTTTGATTGATATGATGGCCTTCTTCGAATTACAACTCCTATATCATTTAATGCAAAAAAATAAAAAAATTTTAGTCACGACTTTTTCCATTTCAGTTACGATGTTGTTACGCCTTTTTGTATTTCAGGTGACGATATGTAAGTATTCGTCGCACGTATGCCAGAAACATGAATGTGTAAAAATTTAAATTTTAGGAAATCAAGTTTGAAAGTTTTTTTTCTTTTTCTTTCTTAACTCTCGCGAATAAAAACTAACCAATTACTTTTTCTTAAATTTATATGAATAAATGGAGTAAAAGGTTGGAAATGTTTCAGAAAAAGTAATTGCTTTCTTATTATTCATACGGTCCATTGTATAATTACTAATTACTAACTACTCGTATACTCGTATTCTAAAATATTGTTCCCTTATATGTACATATGTTTGTTTTGCAGTCTGATGCTAAAAAGATAAAGACAGATGCTGTGAATGTCTAATAAAAGACGATAAAAAGTTCCTTAAAGAGAAAAGCTATGAAGTAATATCACAAATCAAGGGCTGTAACAGGAATATTATGGACTTTGAAGCGGGATCAAAACTTCATACAAGATATAATATTAAACTAGTTTAGACATGCTTACGCTTATCTTAAATGAATCTTCTGTTATTTGAATTGTTTTTTAATTGTATGTTGCATTGGCAAAAATGTAATTCCTTTTCGTTACACATGTACGTATTTATATGAATATTATAATGGTATACTTGTTTGTAAAAGATAATACACTAAGCTACACCTTGATGATGCATTATAAAATAAATTTTCTTTCTTTGAAATTTTTCGGTTAAGTATACATAAGATATAACAAATATTATGTACCACTATCACCCATTTTACATGATAATTTTAACTGAACAAATAGGAAATATATTGCTGGCTTTTATTATACCCTATACATTTTTCGAAATGCTTTTAACCGTTATTTTACATTGAAATTTTTTTAGAATAATAGATTAAATCCGCTCTTAAAAATAATTTTATGTGCATTATCTTATTTGGCGAATAAAATTAGCAAATTTTTGAGACTTCCATTTCCTCAACAGCTGTTATGGCAATTTAACTTTTTGCACATTTGTGCCTGGAAAAAGTCTGGGTTGTTTCGGGCACGAAGAAAGACATTTACGACCCAAAAATGGAACGTATTTGCTCTCTATAACCCATTTTTTTAGCATGCGGAACGCTTTGTGAGTTGTTTCGGGCAACCGCGGGATCCCGCGGGCTCGTGTGGAACAAACCTAATAACTTCGTTTCTATTAGTTGCGTTCCAGATGCTTAAATTGTTGCAACAATGTGGCTGTCAAAGAAATTAAAATTCGAAGGATTCGTGCGTATCTGATGGCACTGACAATAAATGAAAAAAATGATTTTATGCATTATTTCAAAAAGTGCAAAAAATGAGCGGCTTTTTATTTGCTATTTTGGAAGCTAAAAAACCGTACTATTTAATACGGTCCCCTTTTTTGAAATTTTTATAAAAAAAAAATGTATTTTTTTTCTGGAATACCGTAAGCACTCCCTAGGTTTAGTTTTTTTTCCAAAATTTGTGTTCTTAAAGTTATCTACTATATATATATATGGAAATAAAACATGTCAAACCAACATTGATGTGTTTTTGATATTTATTTCCGTGTAGAGCTAACGCATGGTTATGCTCTGATTAAAATTCTTAGTATAAAATTTGTTGAGTTTAGTGGCTTGCGGGCGGCACATCATTTATTTTATAGGGAACATTCTGTTATATGTATTCTTTTTAGTGGATAAATTACCTTTACAAAAATACCAAACACGTTCACATTGCAAACAACGAACGTTTCGATTTATACACGCTTAGGCGGCACTGTGCGCCGGCGCGTCTGGAAACGCCGGCGCTACTGCCCATAAGGTAGATTCCAAAGAGCCACGAGGCTACTAATCTTATCATGTCATCTCGGCAGAGTTAGGCTTTCGCCATGCCAATTGAGATTATAATTATATTTATTTCATTATTGAATTAGTTGAAAATTTAAATATTGTTACTTCCTACTTGAATTAAAATTTTGAGTGCCTGGCGCTGATGGATGGGCGAACAGAAGAAGGTCTGAGGTTTATACATACGTACATGGTTCTTCATAGATTGAAAACTAGGGTGGTCTACTATTTTCCAACATTTTTACCCATCAACTCCCAGTAGAGCAGGCCTTTTTGACCCACTGTTTAAAAAATGGATTATAGATGGTTAAAATTTCCACTAACATATTACTTACTTCCACCTAGTATTTGTACACACGTTTGTGGGACCCCAGAATAAAATAACTTACTTATTTAAAATCTGTACAAAAAAATATTCAACATTTTATTAAAGAAAAAATACACAAGAATATGAATTTGTTTTTGTTTTATCTCAAATAATTGAGGAGTTAGATGTAATAAGGGCACTTCTGTTAAAACTGCTTTCTGAGATATTAGCGTTAAAGTTTTTGGTGTGTGATAACTTACTTGTTGTTGTAGTAATATGTAAAAGAGGAATCTTGTTGTGGTATTGAAAAACAATTTTTTTTTATATATTCTGGAGTAGTAGTTCCTTCAAGCGATGTATTTCAATGTGTATTCATTATGAAAATTTTGTACAAAATTTCTGAGGCGGCGAAAGTAACCGCGCGCCGATATTTTCGTAGCTCGGCGGCGTATACCTCTAATGCATATTTATTTCCAGACGTAATAAAAATTTTTTAATTTGCAAAATTTCGTGATAAATTTATAATTTGCTACACAATGCTAAAAATTAAAAACACGTAAAAATTGATTATGAATGTATTTTACTGTTATGCTAGCACACCATCATCAGAATCAAAAATACAAACAAATATCCGAAAACCTAATGTTTAAGATCTTTTGAATCTTTTGTTACGCTCCGGTATTTAGCACAAAGCTTATTCTCAATGGGTACTTCGTTTCACCAATCTAATCGGAGGAAAGTGACAGAACAAACAGCTACACACATACTATGTATGTATGTATGTATGTAAACAAATGTTGTCTAATTGCTTTTTAACAATTACTCGCAAAACGCATTTCTTTCAAATTATACCCACCGCATTTAGTACATACATATATATGTATACGTATACTTATGAGCATACTTTTTTTACCTCTTGAACCTCTGTATTATTCCCGCGTTGATGTCAAATCGATTTTCTGCTCCTCTTAAAAATGGTCGAATTTGCGATTTGAGTTTATTCCACAGAAAACAGACAATAAATCACTGAATGCCAGTATTTTTGCACATATCTGTTATATGTATGTACATTAGCGCACACAAGGGGTGGGTTTTGGGGTTCAAACCCCCCCCCTAAAGCTAATAACCTGAAATACAAACTGTATCCTAAAGCCAGCTCTCAAGAAAAATCACAAGAAATATTTTTTATTATAAAGCACTTTGCTTTTGCTGTAAATTTTCTTGAAGAAATAAGTATACAAGCATTTTTTTCTTGAGAGATGCAAATTGATTTAAGAAATTTTGATAGAAGAAAATTCCTATTCCATTTCTTGTGCGCCATTTTATATGAATTTTTCGTTTTTTTTTTTTTGAGAGCTCTTAAAAGTTTAACTGCGAATGAAACCTAAAAATATGCAATGCATACTCACTTACAGAGCCTAAAAGAGTTTACAACTGATATGTCCTTAACAAGGATACGAAGATTTAATTTGCCCACTTCTAATTCGTTCCACCAAAATTGCCTACATAACAAAAATTCAAGTTCATTTAATTTTCTCGGTATTCGAAATGTTAAAAAAATTAGGCAATCGTAAAAAATCACCATCTCATTCGAAAACCAGAAACCAGATATCGAGGAAAATGAACATTAAAACTCTTCTTTTTTTTAATTTTTTTTATTACTTTTGCAAGTTGAGCGCATCTTGTGTTTATAGAACTTTATATTAAACAAGTAATTTCAAATTACGGGAAGACCATTGAGGTAACATCTTTCCGATAAAAAAAAAGAATTATAGAAATCGGTTCACGTGGTCCAAAGTTATGTGTTAGTATACTATTCCGACGAATTGATAACCTACCCCTTTTGCGAAGTCGGTTACAAATGTTTGAGTTTTTTGCTAATTTTATGTAAATAAATGCAATTTATGAAACTTCAAAAAGTTTATTTATTTATTACATACTGTACATAAAACTTGCATAAATGTACTTTAATGATCATTTTATCTGAAGCGAATTTTCCGAAGTATAAACCCCTCCCAAAATATATTCCTGGGTGCGCCCCTGTGTATGTATGTATGTATGTTTTTGCAAAAGAAAAAAACGAAATAATTCAAAAAGAAAAGTGTTTCAATTGGATAACCCACTGCCATAGTTTTCTTAAGATCGTTCAATGTTGCCTTTGAAAAGAAATTCTTGATAGTTTTTGAAGGTCGCTTTTAATGTAGAACAGTTAAAATTTTCTTCAGGTATAAAATGTTGCTAAAAATAAAATTTTGCAATACAATGCTTGCTTTCTTGTATGATGTACAAAATTCTTAATTGTCACCGGGTAAAAGTGCAATGACATTGCAAACTTTGTATAGGAATAATGGAGTACATAGAGTGGGTGTACATACATATGTATGTGCATACTCACAGAGTGGAATGGAGTTGGCTTATCAAGGGCTTCCCTATTCCCGTATATTCAAAGATTTCGACTTACATATATACATACATATACATATCGTCGTTTTTAAAGTACAAAACCGCGTATCAACAAAATGCAAAACCGCCTATGTGAGGTTGCATAAATTATTTTCTAGAGACTAAAAACACTCATATTTCAAAATGATTCTCTGCTTGTGTGAGCAAATCCAATATTTGGCAGCAAATGTCAGTTACGCGGTTTTGCAGAATGACGATACGTGGTTTTGTACATTAAGCGATGATATGTACATAATATGAGCAATTTATTCGCAGCGCATAAACATACATAAATGCAAAGGGGGCCCATAAATAAACAATTGAGAAATGCATCTAGGTGCTCTAGGAACATTTCTGCATCGAAAAGAAAATTAAAAAAAAAATGTTTGGCGGTTAGGGCACGATATATTTGTTTTTTTTTTTTTTTTAACAAAAAAGTCCGGCTATTTTTTATTGGACCACCTTAATGTACATACATTCAAAATAAAATAAATTTAAATGCAATCAAACTAAATTAAATAAAAAATTTATTAATGAAATACAAAATTTTATAATAGATATTTCAAATTTTGTTCTGAAAAATTTCCGAGACTTGCAGGTTTCACATTAAATCATAAATTAGACCCAATTGGAAAAATACGGATATATGACCGATAACACCGTCCGAGAGTCAATTTTACACACATAAAATCAATATACTCTCGAAACTTGGAGCCAAAAATAGTAAAGCTACGTTTTTAGGTTTTCTCTCTATGATTTAAAAGAAAAAATTTTGCAGAGTTAAAAAGTTTAAATTCTTTGGTGCATAAGAACGAATTTCGCCCTTCGAATTTTATTAGTTTAAAAAATCTCAATTAATAAAAATTCATTTTCAATAATTATTCGTTCTTTATATATTTTATACCCATAGTTTCTTCGGAAAATTTGCTTAGAATGGCAAGCAGAATTCTCACATGCTATACGCACATAGTAAAAAATAAAATTGACCCGCCCTAATGTATGTATATAAAAGTAATTTTTAAGCAAATAACACAACCGACTTCAAGTCTTATATAAAAAAGTACCGTTAATTTCTTCATGATCCAAAGATTGGATCT